TATAATTATAATAATTTACACGAGTAAGTTATAATTATAATAATTTACACGAGTAAGTTATAATTATAATAATTTACACGAGTAAGTTATAATTATAATAATTTACTCGAGTAAGTTATAATTATAATAATTTACTCGAGTAAGTTATAATTATAATAATTTACTCGAGTAAGTTAATCGAGTAAGTATTAATAATTTACTCGAGTAAGGATTTTCTCCACGAGCCCAATATCTAATCATAAGTATATTCGAAGTCGTTCGACGTATACGCGTAAAAATTAAATAATAATAAATTAATTAAATAGAAATTATACCTATATTTACAGAAGTCCATCCAGCTGCAGCATCTTCCTCGTCTAATCCATCTATATAAGTATAATTCGTAAAAATTAATTTTTTATTCGAATCCAAATAATTAAGAAAATTGAATTTTACCTTCATATATGTTTAATTGGTCATCGTTGTCTTGAATTCGAGATTTCTATAGAATTTAATAAAAATATTGATTAAACCTATGTACTTGTAATTAATAACCGAATACAAAAGAATAAATTAATGTTTAACTAATTTTAAGATAATTTATGATAATTTAAGATATCATAGATGCGCATTAATAATAGTAATTATTTATGATAATTATTATTATTATTAATCATAAACCATTATTTATGATAATTATTATTATTATTAATCATAAACCATTATTTATGATAATTATTATTATTATTAATCATAATTATTGATACACCAGATCATAATACTCACTCGTCCTCCTGAAAGTCTCTTCACAAGTTTTTTAGCTTTGTCTTTCCATTTTTGACCTTTCATTCGTTGAGATTCTAGGTCCTTTATTTTTATATAAAAGGTTAAAAAACGATTACTGGATAAACTATAATAAATAAAGGAAAGGTTGAATTTAAAATAATTTACCTGACTTTGTCGAATTTGTTGAGATCCTGATGATATATCTTTCTCTTTTTGTAGTTTTTCGTCTGTTTTTGTTAAAAATTAACGAAAATTAAAAATAATTGATAAACATTTGTGAATCGGATAAAAAATTTTTTTACACCTTAAAAGACAAGACTTTGTAATATATAAAGTTACCTTCAATTTGTTGACCAGCAGACTGTTCAATTGACGTATATCCATAACCTAAAAGTAATTAAAAGTTAATATTCAAAATTTTTTTTTTGAAATTCATTAAATTTACTCGTGATTAAAATAATTAATATAATAAATATAATAAATAAAAGGGAGCAATATTTATCCGATCTTATGCAAATCATATGTAAATCGTAAATCATGAACATTGATCACATTGATCGTCCATATTAGAGATGGACAACACGTTTTTACTAAGCTTAAAAACAATGAAACGTTCATGGATCGATTTTTTTTTTAACCATTTATATCATAGAAATAAACAATGTAATATTTACCTTGACCATAATATTCATCACCTTCTTCGATTAATCCCATTCGTCGTTTTTCTTCAATTTCTAAAAAATTTATTAGATAACGATAAAGATAATGATAACGATAATGACAAAAATAATGATAACGATAAAGATGAATGATTAAAAGATAAAAACCTTGATTACGTAGCCATAATTCTGCTGCTAAAGCATCCCTTTGTAAATCTGTCCAATCTAGAATTAGATATTGTTCCACCCACACACAATAACAACATAATAAAAAATTTATTAATTACCAATATCAGATATCCTTGTCATTCTTTTCGAATTCTGTTCTGGCACTAAAAAAATAACACATTATTACAAGTTATTACGCGTTATTACAAGCTAATACGTTATCAATTTTAAAAATACATACTTTTACTTCCGTTTCCTTCTTCAATACCTTTATTCATTACACTACTTTTTCTATTTTTTTCAAGTACACCTTTAGTAGAGTCGCCATTATTTATTAATTCTTTACACATAGTTACTACATTCTCACTTCCTGGTCTCTTTTCAGGATCCATATCCCAACATAAAGTATATAATTTTAAATAACCAATAGGAACATCTTTTGTAGGAAGTTCCCTTAAACCTTTTGTAATAGCATTAGCTAAATCTTGTGGAGGAGGATTTTTACGATCCGAAAAAGGACTACGACCACAAGATATTTCCCAAAATATAACACCTAAACTATATATATCAGATTTTTGAGTTTGTAAATTATAATAAGAAGAATGAATTTGAGAAAAATCGGGGTATTGAATTGGAGAAGATTGTGATGAATTATTATAAGTTGATAAATAAACGCTTAAAATTTGTGGATCTGTATAAGATATTTTTCGAATATTAGTAATAGGGTTTGAAGGAGGAGGTGAGACCATTGTGTGAGTTATGCCAAAATCTGTTAATTTCACTTTTTGTTGAATGAACATTACGTTTCGTGAATTCTAAAAAAAAAATTTATTTTTTTAATTATTAGTAACAGTAACGAAGACGTTAACATTAATTATAAATTTTTGACATTACCAAATTTCCGTGAACTATATTATTAGTATGTAAATATCCTAACCCTTCAGCAATTTCTCTGGCCAACGTTAATTTATCGCTCCACGCTAGTTTTTTAAAGTTTTTTGATAAATAATCTTGTAGTGAACCACCATCAGCATGTTGTAATACTAGAATATATATTGATTCAGGTGATTCTGAAAATAATCAAAAGTCGTAAAAAATATAATATAGTATATATTATTAGTATTGTGATGTAAATAAATCATTAAATATTAAATAAGAGAATTACCTTGTGTTAAACCAGAAATACGAATTATTCGTTCGTTAAAATCGACGTTTAAATGCCATTGTAGCTGTGACGATTTAAATAAATAATTCTTATTAACTTATTCTTATTAACTTATTCTTATTTAACGTTTAACGTTTTAAAAAAATTATAACCAAAGATTATACCTCTTTAACAAAAGATTTCCTCAAATTTTCAGATAATGAACCGATATTTTGTAATTCTTTAACGACCACACGTTTTTTCATCTTTCTCCATTTTAAACTTTTAAAAGATTTAACTTCACCATTAATTTCATTGGAAACAGTTTTTGGATCTTCAAATTCTTCAAACGGAATAAATTTTACATAACGATGTTGAACTAAATCATCTAACCATTTTTGATCAAATATATCTTGTTCAAGAGTAAAATCGGGAGAAGTTGATTGAGATAAATGAAGAGATTTAATCGATTTTTTATCAGTAGTTCTAGAATTTTCACTACTTTTACTACTTGATTTACTTCTTGTACTATTCCAACTCGTAGTATTCGGATTCATATTTATCGAAAAAAATATGTACGATTGCGATACGATGTTACGAAGATACGATGTTACGATGTTTGTGATTCCTTTTTTTTTTTGAAATTTGATTTTTTTTTCGAATAATTTGAAATTTCTGAATGATAACGAATATAATGAATAAAAAAAAAAATGAATTATAAAAAAATGTGTATAAAATAATGAACTATAAATGAATATAATGAAAAACGAAACGAAATAAAAATTGTAAATGCTACTAGGAAATACTAGGAAAAATAGAAAAAATGAGACATCTGCTATGACAGTAATTATAAATTCGATAATTAATACGACAAAATAGGTAAAGTATAGGAATACTGTATAAAAAAAAAATTGGTCTACTAATTTTTTTTTTGTTTTTGTTTTTGGTTTAACTCTAATAATATATAAAAATTTTTAAGACTAACGCTAAATAATATTTTTCTAAAATAAAATCTAAAAACTATTATAGATAAAAATACAAGATAATCATAATATATATATAATAAAAATTTTGGGTTTTCTATATAAAAAAAATAAAAAAAAAGAAATTTTTTGTTTATTATAAATAATCAACTGTCAACAGAAGACTCGATGGAAAAAAATAAAAAAAAAATAACGAAAAAAAATAAAATAAAAAAAAAAGAGCGCGAAAAAAAAGTTCGGAAAAAGGAACAATGGTTTAATAAGATGAGCGCATTATATACTCGTTATATGGCGAGGAGATACGTAATGCTTGTCACTTCTTCATTGTTATTGTGTCAAGTTTAACCAAATAATTTATTTATTTATTTATTTACTTATTATAAAATAAAAATACAGGTTATTGTATATATTTGATATGTGGGGAATTAAAAAAAGAATTAGAAATTTTAATTTATATAATACGATGTGTAAAAATGGTGGTACTACAGTAATAAGTTCCGTACAAATTTGACAAATTAACAAATGTGTTGTGATACGTGCACCGGGGTTATTTTTATACCGATGAGAATTTGGCGTTAGAGTGGAGATAATGAAAAAAATATAAAAGATAAAATTGTTTAGATTGTTTCGGGTTTGAGGTTTGAAACTAACCGGTTGACGACCTTGTTAAAAATTATGAATTACTTTGTTTGGATAGTCAATTAAAATTAAATGCATTTTTACAATAAGGTTAAGTGTATACGTAATAAAGAGGCTTTCTTTATGGATTCACAATGTTCATCTTGAAGTATTTATGCATTAAAATTAACCATCCTCGAATATTATTGAATATTATTGAATATTAATGCATTAGTTTAATGTTTTACAATAGTAATACTGAATTCTACTCACAGTTAATACAAAAAAAAATACTAATTTTTAGAAAATATGTATTAACGTATATTTGATCATCAAATAGTTTAACAAATAGTACAGTACAAATAGTTAAAGTGAGTATAAGTTTAATTTGATGCATTTAAAGTATGATGTTTTGATAACAATCTAGATTAATTAAGTAATTAGTGTTCAGCCCGCCATTTATAGATTATCAACTTTTTTCTAGATTGTTTGACAGTAGTACAAAATCGAACAGGTAATTGAGTAATTTCAAAATAAGTGTGACTGGCGTTAAATTACGTACGTACTCGCATAAATTAGACGTATCTGGTATTAAAAAATCATGGATCCCTTACTATCCAGACAGGTTTAGATAAATTGTTGATTATTGCTACTTATTACTACTTACTTATTACTACGTAGTTGAATGAAACTTTATGTAGATTATTATTATATATAAATAGGAATTTATGATTGGTGATGAAAATCGGTACTTTTAGGTATTTCGTATCACTTGGTATCACTTGGTATCACTTGGTATCACTTACGAAAAAAATCCAAATTTGTCCTGAAATAAGATAAAGATTACACATAACACCTTTTTTCCTTAATAAACCGTTCTATCATTGTTATCAAACTTCTTAGTTCGTAATTAATATCACCACTTTTCTTTTTGTTTTTCTTTTTGTTTTTCTTTTTGTCAGGGAACTATTTTTTCTTTTTTTTCATTGTATCTAAACTGTTCAAACAATGAACCTTGTGACGATCTGACATTTAAATAATGCAGCTCTAAACAAGGACTTTACTGAACAATGGATAAAATTAATAGACAATATGTAATAATTTTAAACATATCGATGTGTGTTTATTAATAATTTTAAACATATCGTTATAATGCTGTAGTGTGTTTATTAATAATTTGATATAAATAGAAAACTTGATAATACCTTTTTATCTAGATTTAGAATAACTAATATACTAATTTGGTTCTATAATATTATTTGTCATTTGTTATCTGTTATGAATCAGTTTTAATGTACGTTATCTCATTATGATTTTTCTTATTATTTTTTCCTTTTCTTGTACATAAACAAATCCTATAATGGTTAATTTTAGCTTCAACGAAGCACTGCCCCTCTCAACCCCTATTTTTTAATCTCAAATCAGCGGAATTAAACGGACTGTGTTAAGTTAGTAAATACGTACGTACGTACGTTCGTACGTATGGTAATAACAGTGAATGAAACTGTCACCTGTTTCCACATTCTAAATTAATAATAATAATAATAATAATAATAATAATAATAAATAATATAATTATAACAATAATAAGGTATAGTCTAAATAATATTATCTGATATTTTTAGATTCATGCGACAAATACTTATGCATAAATACAACTTTTGTTATACGTGATCAAAAAAAAAAAAACAAATTAAAAATTAAAAACTTTTTGTCCATTCAATATTATTATGTAAACTAATCTGGTTTTTGTCCCATTCAAAGCTTGGTACGTATCCATATTCAAAATCTTGTGATTATATACCAATACGTTTTGGTATTAGAGTTCCTCAGAATTCCTCATGATTTTCAACTACTGACCTGATAAAGAATTATTGGTGATTAACTTGTTACATATCGGTATATACCGTCAAAATGAGTTTCCAAAAATAGTAAAGGCGTCATTAGGCATAAGTGCCTTATCGTTTATCAAGATATCCAATCAAGTACTGTACTTATGCAATATTCTTTATCCAATAATGAACTATCTGTTTTAAAAGAATAGATACATGTGATTATTTGTACACATGTGTAATCAAGTACGTACACATGTGTAATCAAGTATGTACATATGTATGTTACTGCTTTCACGTTTCTAATTGTTGCTTTCTAATTCAAATTCTGAAATTATTGAGAATGCATCTATAAGATCTTACTTGATGATTTAATTTTATAATTCCCTATTCAAAAAGAAAAACATGTAAAATGTACGTACATACATACGTACGTACGGAAAATACATCAATATAAAGTAATTTAAAGGAGTAAACTTTGAATACTCCGTGTAAATGTTTGTACGTCTATATACCTAATATAGTTGTTTAGTTCCATTATTAAAATTAGTGAATCATTCGATAAACATCGTCCAATCTTTCGTCATAACGCACTAATAAACTTATTTGTCCCGTGTTCTCATATGTAAATAATCATGAATTGAATCGTCGAGATTCCTTTTTGCTACCTATTATGAGTTCATAAGAATTCTGCGACTTCAAAATGTTGTATTTCTTTATCTGTTCGAAGTTAATTAAAGTATACGTGATACTGTAATTGCCACATGTAATAACATCTGTTTGAAGTGAATTAAAGTGTAATACTGTAATTAAACCACATGTTATAACGTCTAACTGATGTAAGGTACACGCTGAAAAAATTATTCTGATAATTTCATGTGAATAAATGCTCGTGTGCATATAATCGCATTGTAAGTCATCTTAATATCGCTCAAAATAGGTTGCGGCATAATTAAAACTGAGAATTGACGATAAAGTTATGAGATAAATTTCGAATGCACGTGAAAGATAAAACAACCATAGCGACAAAATCTTTGAATATTATTTAACATTAATATAATGTTGGAACGTCAAAAATGACTTGACAATAAATGAAATCGTATACGGTCAACTTTATAATGAACTTTTTATTATAGAATTCGGTATAGAAGTATAATAAATTATTCTATAATGACCTTTTTAAAAAAACTTTAACAATAAGTACTACCAGTTCGTTATCTACTGTATAACATTTAATAATAAATTACTGTACCATCGTTATTTGTTAAGATAACGGTTTTTATCTGGCCATTGCTAACTCCGACTGATTTCAGATAAATCAAATTTCCGAAATTGTTAACTGATTAACGTTAGTATAGAATTCAAAATGAAATACAATAATTGTATACTTTTACAAACCAAACCAAACAATCCACACAAGTAAAAAAAAAAACTTTGAAGCAAATTAAGAAAGTACAGTAGCACCGAAATATCTTTAATTCTATGTAAACCTAAAAAAAAAATTTTAATTTGAAAAAAAAATGGGTATAGACTCGGCCCAAGTTAAGGTTAGCGTTAGCAAACGTGATGTGACGATCATATCGTTCTTGACTGTCTTTGTGCAATTTGAAGGATTATGGTACTATACTCTAAAAGATAACAAATTTTTAATAAAATTTTAAATAATAATAATTTAATAAGAACTTACCAAATTTAATAAAAATTTTTATCCGACATATAACTCGGATAATGGCTCTTACGCAGCCAGCAACTTGTTTATCTGGCAGCGAATTTTTATATGCGTCATTTCGGGCCTTTCGGGGTTCACAAGCTACATATTAAATTTCACAGCAAGATAATGAATTATTTGCAAATAACAAGTATAGGCTATTTCGCTTCCAATAACTGTCTATTACAGTATTATTGTCACGGGCTAATGCTGAAATTTGGTCCTGTTTTTTTTTTCGATTCGTTTAATTCTTCTGAATTTGTGCAATATTTTATAGTTGTTCCACCATTTTCCACTTATAAAATTTTACACAAATTATTTATACGATTTTAACTTGGGAATACCCGTGGCGTACTTTTTTTGGTCCTATTTTGATATGAATTTTTAAAAAAATTTTTGAGGTGTTTTTTTTTCTC